CTTTCAAATCGATGAATCCTAGAGATGTGTGTTTTATTTTGTTCCAAGAAATGAAATAATTGTCCAATTTGAAGAGAATCAAAATGACAATAAAGTGTATCTTTGAATGAGAGAAGAAGCAGTATTCTATTTTCCTCTTGGAATTTAAGTATAAAGAACAATGCCTTGAATAGCCATCCTCGATTCTTGGAAAAGGCAAAATTATTTATAAGTGTATAAATGCTAGAATAATGAAACTATCCAAGCCTCTCTGATACACTTTTCACTGCTTTAAGTATCATCAAAACAACACTCAAATAAAACTTACACTAGGGAAAAAAAAGTGTGAAGTGTAGAGCCGACAATCTGCAAATGAGAAAACTCCAAACCTCACCATCTCCTGCCTGATCTCATTGTTTTTCACACTTATTTATTTTTCCCTTTTACAAATGCATGGGGGAAAGGATTTGCGTAGTTTATTTGAAAACAGAACTCGGTGACGACACTTGTCCTCCCCGAATCTGCTTGGATGAGAATGACAGGGTGTGAAATTATATCCTGCTGCTTCTTCAGCTGTGCTTTCAGCTCCAGCTTGGGACTTCAGTTTGCTTCCAGCTGTTTTTCACCCAAAGTAAAATGTTTCTTTGTGCAGCCATGTGCTGCCTCTGCTTCTGTCAAGTGGGGTTAGGAACTGGTGTTGAAAAGACGATATAGTGCTCTTTACCTCCTGGAAATTCTTTTCTGCAATGAGCCATCCTAAAAGGCCAGCTGTGCCCAGCCACACAGCTGTTTCACACAGAAATAATAGCTTCAAGCTCTTTTGTCAAGGCCAAGAATCAGATCCTGTAAATTCATGGAAGATGAATGCTACAGTAACCTCTAGGAACTTTTTTGTATAAAAAAAGATTATAAATAATGTAATAAAAATGAAGTGCTTTGTAGGTGACAATAGGCTTTATAGGTAGCTAATGCCATGTTTAGTACTATTCTTTTATGTTTGTGTTCAAGTTAGTCAGCACAGTACCCAACCTAACCTCCAGCAGGAAATTATATATTCCATTATTCCTTATAGTACAATAAAGCCCTTTATTTATAGCAAGCATTAGTTTTGTTGTCACAGAGACAGAATTCACATCTCAGCAGTGTATCAAAACTTTCCTTCTCTCCTTGTAATGGTTATCCCTAAAGTTGTCCTGTCCTCCTGTTGTCACACCTACACATGTGGTTTATCTGTCAGCATTGGGAAGAAGGCTTTCGGACACAGATTCTCTTCTCTCTCTGGTCACCTCTATCAGAAGAGGGACAAAGTTCATAAGAAATTTGCCTTTCTTTTTTTCTTTTTTCCTTCTTTTTTTTTTTTCTAGTTCCAGTTCCAACCTGCTGATTCCATGATTGTGATTGACACTAGAATATTGTAAATATGCCCAATTATTTTATAGTGTAATGGATCCCTTTTATGAGAAGTGCATTTTCTCTAGCACAGTTTCCTTCTAAAGTGTTTCATCCTCTTCAAGAAACTGATGTTGTCTAAGAGGAAATGTTCAAATATTGCCTCTGAAAGGCCTCATGCTGAGCATGCACAAACCAGAAAGGGGATTAGAAAATTAAAATATGTTTATGTGATTTCAAAGGCCAAGTGTAGGCCACAACCTAAGAAAAGCAAGTAATTGTAAGACTGAAGGCAGAGGTAGCTGTAGGTTGTGTACCTACAGCAAACTCGTCTGTCCTTTGTTCTAGACTGAATTGAGAATTTGGATTACTACACTTTGCCTACGAAGTGTGAAATGGATGGGCACAAGGAATTATTTCATTAGCAGTGGTCCAGGACAACTCTCTAACATTAGAATCCAAACTTTTAAATAAGAAAATCACTGTTAAAACTACAAGAGACAGGAAACAATCATATTTTAACAGAAAAAAAGTCTTTATAGAACCTTTCTTTTAATCAAATTTTATGTGAACTGTATCAAACTCATTTTAGTGTTGAAGAAAATGAATGATTAACAGTCCTAGATTGAGAAGTGGAAACAAATTCGTTACTGCACCTGTGAATATTTCAGTTTCAGCTGCTGTGGAGCAAGGCTCGGTTTTTCTTTAATGTTGCATGGACTTGTGATCTTCTAAATCAGGGGAAAAAAAAGAAAATGAGGGCACTCGCTTCCTTGTGTGATGTCAGATAAAATAAGACTGAGCCTAATTTATTATGTCTTATAAACAGATGCTCCTGCATATGGGCATGTTTGTCTATTTGTGTACTGATACATTTTAAGAAATGATTGCCCTCTTGGTAATTGTTGTGAATAATTATTTGTGAAAAGAGATTCCATTATATAGGAACCTAAAGTTGTTAGTCACCTCTTCAAACAATTCTCTTCAGTTTCCACTTCCACCTTTGAATTCCCACAAAGCCTCCTCCTTTTTCCCAGTGTCAAGTAGGAGCAGGCATGTCAGCATTCAGAAAGGTATCACACAGTTCTTTCTAATTGCCAACACTGAATAAATTCACATTCACTTATATCTGTGAAAAACTCACAGATTGTGCTTGCACAGTTGAGCTTGGACAATCTCATCCATCTCAGATTTTGCTTTTTCACCTAGCTGGAAAAACTCAACCCTTTCCATTTCTCAAATTGGAAAATAGTCCATTTTCCCTGGGGAAAGGTTTGTAAGGGAATATACAATGCCCTTCCAAGTCTAGATAGTCTTGCCAAGTGCATCAAGTATTTTGCACTTGTCTACAAGAACATTTCTAACTGGTAGTTCATCAAGTCAGCTGCAAACACGAGGCATAAACCCCCCAGAGCAATATCAGCACAGTTAATCTTTTGTAAACAGCTTGCCTTTGGTGGCTTGTACAAAAAGACAAGTCATTACTAAACCATGAGAAAGGGAATTTTCTTACTGCTTGTTAAACACTGCAGTAATTTTGAAGGACTAAACAACACTGAAAGAAAAAAATCTTTGTGTTTTGTACCACACATATCCATAGTTTGCATAGGCACAATAGTGAATGCTATCTAGTGAATGCAAATTCACAAAATCCAAACTGACTTTGACAACTTTTGTGAAATGCTTTAACCTGTAACTGATAGTTATTTTTCACTGTCATTATTTCAGACCAGCTGCAATATTTAGCAGTTATACACATGCTGAAGGTCTCTGTTGCTTTCAAGAGATGCCTGCATAACAATAAACCCCATCCTGGGGTTCAATTCCCCCCCTGACTGGGGATTTAGGATGGTGAGCAAGTCTGAGGTTTATGACACTGGGACAAAGCTGCTATAGACTTGTCTGAGCTGAGCAGCTAAAAATCAGCACAGCCTCTATGACTGCACCTTTCCTGGTGGTGTGGCTGGCTGGCTGGCTGATCATGTCAACTAAACCAGGATTAAAAACTCAGTCCACTGTGATTGGCACAACCCAAGTTTAGTTTCTATTATTTCTGAGGTTTCTCTGCAATTCAGGTGATTTCTGAAGCCAAATTAATCATATTAACAAGTATTCTCATGTTTGGTTACAGGTGTGAAGCTACTCAAGGCAGCTTGTTTTTGTCTTGGATCTGACATTTGCTGGTGGACCCTAATATATTGCACTTGTACATGAGCTAAACTGGTGCATCCTCACAGGATGTTGCTTTTATTGGGTTTCATGGGCCACTTTTTAAGGGGGATGGAAAGGACTTCATGTGTGTATTTTGTGGCTATCAAAGACCATGTTTAGGGGTGGTCTAAGAGCCCACTCAGGTGTGGCAGCAGGGAGTGCTGTTGGCTTCAGCTGGACTGGCTTCCATCCTCTGACTTGAGCAGTGTCACAACGTAGTTACTTCAGCTTTTAAAAAACCCCAAACTATCCAACAGCTGGTACAATGTAGTTTGTAGAGATTGTTAGCTACTGTGACATTTTCTGAAGAGGAGGTTTCACTTTGGGTTCAGTAAATGTGCTCTAATTTCCACCATTCAGCTTCACCCACAAGCTGAAATTTAATGACAAAAATGTGAGAAATGAATGTGAGAGGCATTAATACTTTCTTATTCATGACAAGTTAGACATTTTTTCCCATAAAATTAAGGGTTTCTAAGGACATGGTACAGCTGTGATCGAGTCACTGCTAATTTTGAGAGCAACCTGGTTCAATATAAGCTTTGACATTTTTCTTGTTCTAAATTTCACTACAAAATAAAACCTCAGACATTTATTACAGACAAATGCTGAGAGTATGAATGAAGATTGAGTACAGTTTGAACTAGAAGATTTCAGCATGATCGTATGAAATGTATTCCTTCATGTTAATGCCCAGAAATGTGGTTAAGAAAAATATATTTTTTCAAATCATCCTGACTTTGAGGCAGAGAGCTCAAAGGACAATGTTTTAAAAGAACTTGTTTGCATGATTTCTCTTCTTTGAACCAATTTGTTTTGGTTTTAAACACTAAAATATATTGTATTTACACTGGGGCTTTGTGCTTCTTTTATGAGTTTATGGATAAATGGTAAACCTCTGGTTAGGCAGGTTATTTCCAGGACAGGAGAGAAGGGCAAGTCAAAAGGAAGGCTGTGTGTTCTGGATCTTGTATTTTTTCCTTGGGAAAAGCAGCTGTGTGAGGTTATAGGAAGTGAGAATTTAGGTGTGAGTGATTTATCCCATATTTATTTATCTGCTCCTAGATTTCTGCATTTGACCTGTGGTGCTGCTGGGGTGGGACTTTGTTTGGGCAGTGTTAAACCCCATAGCCTTGAGCCTCTGGGGAGGCTTGCAGAGCCACCCAAATGCATGAACTGGCTCTTCCTAGGAGCTGTTCTCAGACTGCAGGGAAAGGCAGTTGATGGAGTTTCCCTGTTGGCACTCATGATGAAAAATGGCTGTGTGGAATACTCTTCTTCAGAGAGCACTGCAGGAAAAAAAGTTAAAAAAAGCCTTTTACATATAATTAGTGCTTCTTGAATAACTGGAAGGAGGTTCATGGCTTTTTTTTCTTTTCTCTTATTTATTTATTTCCCCACGCTCTCTTCCTGTGTTACAGATATACGTGGACTGCAGGGATTTCTCGATCAGGCCTCCAGGCTGGGACTTGATGTGTCATTACAAAAAGTGGACAGGAACATCAGCAGAGTATTTTCCAACCTTTTTACCACCATGAAAACAGAAGAGCTGAACCGCTACCGGGACACGCTGCGAAGGGCCATCCTGCTCCTGAGCCCACGGGGAGCTCAGACTTTCATTAATGAGGTACGTGCACAGATTTTTTATCTTCAGCACTTCAGAAACATGATTATGACCCATGTTTTGCCCTTTTGACAGTGCTGGTTGTTTAATGTCAAATAAGATTGTCAGCCCCAAGTGCCAGGGAATTGAAATGTCTCATGCTCCATGGAATGCTTGCTTTGGGGTTAATGCAAATGAGGCAACATGGGCCAGATATTATATAATATAATATACACCTCTGTGGGGGGGGCAGTTATTTTTGTCTTCTTGTCTTCTGTATCAATACTTTTGTCCTGGATTTCAACCACTGTTAACAAGTGACCAGAAAATCTGCAATGATCTATTAGAAATTAAATATAATGTGCCTGAGGTGGCTGTCTTTGCTGTGGAGATCTCCAAATTTATATTGAAGGGGCACAATACTGATGGTTGAAAGTTGAATTACAGAGTTTTTTATGAAATATAAAGTAGGAATTATATGTTTGTCTTATTTTCTTAGTGGCTTCTTGAAATCAGCGATGCTAATTAGGACAGGGAGGCAGCTGTTGGGCAAACTTTTAATTAATGTGCTGTGGGCTAACTTTTAGCATTAATGAGTTTTATCCAGCTTTCTTAATATTAAATAATGAATTATTTTACAGTGCTTTCTATGTCAGGGTTGAGAATGAGAATTTGAGCCCCAGTTTAAGTTTGTGTATTCATTAGCTAACATTTTGGCAATAAAGTAGGGGTTTGAATTTTTTTTAACTAGCCAGGGATATGACTGAACCAAGAAATTAAAATGTGGATGGGACATGTTTCCAATTACCAGTTTTTCTCCATCAAAGCTTGTTAAATTAAAACAAATCAACTCAAATTAGCTCATAAGGGGTTTTTATACCATAACCGCCTTAGTAAATTATCCACATTTGTGTTCATCAGTGATTTTTTTTTAAACAGCAAGGTAAATTTTGTCCTAAATAAATGAGGCAAGTAGGTAGTTTGGAAAAGACTAGGCACAGGGATGAATTCTCCTCAGGTTTGTGCACACACAGGTATTTGCAGTGGAAGAATGAGGGAGTTAGCTGCCCTCCGAGTTCGTGCAGCTCTCCACAGCTCAGTCAGCTGTTTTCATAGGAGGCCTCCAGCAGAAATGCAAATTGCCAGGGAGTCCTAACAAAGGATCCACACCAGGTTAAAAGAAAATAGTTTACTGAGACCCCCAGCTGGATGTCCCAGGGGGGACACAGAGCTCTGGGGTTGTTTGGTGAGCCAGGTGGGTGTCCTGTCAGAAACCTGGGGTGTCTCCAGGGTAGGGGCCAGTATTAAACTGTATTAAACTCTTTCACTACTCACTTCACCTTAAAGCACTGTGTATTATAGGCATTAAGACTAATGAGCCTGATATATTTCCATCTCCCTGCAGGAGTTTAACAGTGGGCAGAAATGAAGAGTAATTTATTTAGCAATCTTCCTGTATGGAATATTGATTGATTCAGAAAAGCTTTATAAGAGAAAATTTAAATCTTGGAAAGGAATTCTCAAAAGGCTTGAAGATATGAGGTGTAGAGGAGAATCTTTCTCTGACAGAGGCTGAACTTATATTTTGTGGAGAGTTACAATGACTGCAGTTCTTCAGTATCTCAGTCAATAAGTGCAACTAATTATCTACAGCACATTTTCAGGGAGTCTAGAATAACAACCTGCAGCTTAAATGAAATATGCATTTTTATGTATTTCACTGAAATGCATCATTCACAGTGTGTGGCAGTAAATTCCTTCAATAGCTTGAAGGAACTTATTCAATTCCACAGTAGGTATTTTTTACTATAGGTACCATATTGCTCTATACTGACTGCTGTTGTTATAAATCTCCCTCTACACCTTGGAAATTGTTTAAGGCTTTTATTCAGTTTTGGGAGGAAAAAAGCCCTCTGAAAAAAATCTAAGTAGCAATGCTAGAAGAAAATGTAAGGATATTTTTAGATTTTGCACGTATTTTTTTTCTCTTTTCTTTAACTCCAGTTAGAAAAAGAAATTGGAGAACAAAGATGTTTTAAATCTGGAAATGGAAAATTTAATGTGAAAAAGACGTTCCTTATTAAGATTTTTAGCTTTGCTGAGTTGATGTTTTGTAGTGGGGAAAAAATGTCTGACAAATTTCAACCAGATTTTTGTTAAAATGTGTTGGCTAATGCTGGCTAATAATAAGCATAAAGATACCTTTATCTTCATGAAAACCAGGTGTTGAACACCAACCCTCTGGTGAAATGCAGAAGAAAAATAAAAATGGTGTTTGGGTTATGAAACCTGAAATAAACAGATTTAACAGATTTTTCTTAGCACAAGTCATAGATATCAGCCATTGGAAGCTGGTACAAGATCTATTTTGCCTTGTTTGAAACTGCAAGTGATATATTTTTCTTCCTAAAAATACAGATCTGGGTTTCAGCCTCATCATCTCTTGGGTGGGCCAGAGAGCTCTCATCTGATTTTGGATGTACAAAGTTAGGGGACTCTGCCATCACATGTGTGAAAAAATTTTGAATTGTGAAATAATTAAATTTCACTATTTTTTATTTAGGGATGGTTCTCATTTAACTGTCTTAACATCTCAGTGCCTGGTTCTGTCATATGTCAAAATTACTGTAGTAGAAATTTTTGACCTTTCATAAGTTTTCAAGATTTAGTATTTTGCTATGAAATAGTTTTGACTGTAAGAACACAGAGGAAAAGGAAAAAATATTTTTTCAATGGTATTGCTATAAACCTGGAATCAGCCTTTGTTTAGAACAGGGATGGTAAACGAATTTATAAAATGTCAACTATCTTAGGCTATGCATTAAAAGGGCATTTAGGGACTGAAGCACACCTAAAGAGTCTTCCTCCTTAAACAGTTGAGAAAAATGTTCCTTTCTCCATCTGCAGAAATCCCAGATATATTTGTCTCAATTGTAACAGGTGTATGTTTGCCAGGAAAACAATTTTATATTTTGAAAAATGTGTGATCCTCTTGTAAGGAGATAAGAAAAACTAATAATTCAGAAATGGGAAGACTTAGCACTTTGACCTTTTCTGTGAGTTTCTTTGGCCCAGACACAGGAATCTGAGACTCTGAAGGCTCCCTCCTTGAGACACTGAGGGTTCACCTGCCTCTTAGCAATGGACATGTTTTTTCAATTGCAAGTAGAAGTATTATTTGTATGGATTGCTTTTATCATTAGGGCTGTACAGTGAAATGAATAAATGGAAAAAAGTTCAAAGAGGTGACAAAAATGCTGAAAGGATGGGAGCACATGACCTCTGAGGAGAGGCTCAGGAACTCGCTATACACAGCCTGCCTGAGGGAGCAGAGCTGCAGGGCACTCCAGAGGAAACATGAGCGGAGGAGGAGGAGGAGGAATTACTTAAGGTGATCATGGGATGTCTAACAGGAAGCAATGACCCGTAGCTAAACAGGGAATGCTTTCTAACAGGGAAGCCAGTGGGACAATGGGAGTGCTGGGCAGGAGAGTTCAGGGGGGCATCGTTCTGCAGGGCGTTCAAGAGTTCACTAGATAAAACACTCTGGTAAATCAGGCTAGCACTTTGTCCTGAACTGGTGTGCAGGATGTTCTAGGTGACCCAGGAGCCCTTCTGAAGATCTGCCAGGAAACATTTGTTGTGTGAATAAGTTCAGACTTTGTACTTTTTTATATACAGCCTATCTGAAGAGGAGAAGAAGATCTTGTAGTTCAGCACTTCTCAAGGTTCCTGTGGCAGGTGTGCCACAGTTCCTGAACTCTGTGGAGGGTTTGGCCTCTTAATTCTTTGAGAACACACGGTTTATTTGGGATATGTATTTTAATAGGATTTGTCTTTATAAATGTAGGTGATATCAATTGCTTCATAGGCTTGACTCTTCCTTTGCAGTATTTATATACAACTTTGCTTTTGAACACCAGTGAAATGGAGGATGTAACCCAGTTGCATGTAGTTATTGACTTGAATAGAGAAGGCATTATCAGCTTTACAAAACCTTTAACTCAGCAATACTTGTTTTTTTTGGCAGCTTCACTGGAGTGAAAAATGTTTTTGTTGAGATGGATCTCTGAAGATGCTGTAGTTCTTTGTGAGCTTGCCTTGCCTGTGAGCTGGCTGCAGGAAGGTTGTATGCATATCCCTGCAGCACAGCAGCCTAAAGCAGAACTCTCTGCATGCCTAGGATAGTAAGCAAGTTTTTTTAAAAAAAGAAGACTATAATAAAAGAGAGCAGATGAATTTTTAAAAATTAATACAGAACTGCTTTATCAATGCGGCTGGGTTACGTGAATCGCAGCAATTCCAATTTGAGCTGAAGCTAAAAATTTCCAGTATAACACTGTGTTAAACAGCTGTAATTTATCTCTGCCCTGTTTATATCATCACCTCAGTGTCCTCATTGGAAAGCAAAGTCTTCTCTGTTTTTCTTTCACCCTAGTTCCTGCTAAGTGTTTTGACTGATTCTTTATAGCTATCCTGCTTTTTGTGTTTTTGGGGTCATGTCACAGTGATTTGTGGCCTTCCTTCAATCCTGGCCACTGAAGATGCTGATCTCCTTCTTCCCAGAGCACTCTCAGTTGGCACCTGTTAGAGAACCGTGCTCCAGCCTTCTCTTCCCTTCTGCAGTTGGTGGCATGCTATTACTTGACTGGAACTGAGTGAAGTATTTATGGCATCTTGAACAATTTGCACCCACAAGCAATTGTATGAAATAGTTTTCCAGGAACATTCACTTCTCCAAATTTAACAGGAAAAAAGTTCAATATTAATTTTCTGGCACTTAGCACTTCATATCTCTCTCTCTCTCTCTCTCTCTCTTTTTTCTATTTATGTTACAAACACCCAACATATTAGTCCATATCTCTGTTTTATATGCAGTATATAAACATCTAAAATATTGTTGAATAATTTTGGGAAAAAATATTACGCCTTCTCTATTTTAGAAGGCAGTTTCTATATTTAAAGAGCTGCTAGTGATTTGTGAGTGCTGGTAATGGAACTGTAGAAATAATACATTCTTCTTT